GATACTATTATAAATAACCTTGGGATGGGCCACCTTGTACAGAAATCTTTTCTACATATGTGGTTATTTCTTTAGCATGAATGCTGAGAGAACAATTAGCAGGTCAGACTACGGGCAGCAGTGAGGCTATTAATGTATTATTTTTCAGAAGGGTTACACTTGTGTACATTTACCAGCAGTATGCAGACACCCTTGCTTTAGTGTCTCCTTGTAGGCCCTGACTTATATCTTCTTTAAAAATTATTCTCTATCATTTCTTAGGCTAACAATTGCATTTGCTGCTATTTTTTTTTTTTTGGCTAATAAAAATCCATCACTAATAGTGATCACAGTTATCATTTCCATTTCTTTCGTTATTAGTGTCGGGGTTTTTTATGACTTTTTTGTAGTTCTGTGAATTTACTATTTCACCATTTTTTGAACGCGTGTACATGGTAGGTACAATGGTGAAGAAGAACTTTTAGAAGTTAAAAAGCAGGGCGCCTGGGTGGCTCAGTTGGTTAAGCGACTGCCTTCGGCTCAGGTCATGATCCTGGAGTCCCAGGATCGAGTCCTGCATCGGGCTCCCTGCTCAGCAGGGAGTCTGCTTCTCCCTCTGACCCTCCCCCCTCTCATGTGCTCTCTCTCTCTCATTCTCTCTCTCTCAAATAAATAAAAATCTTAAAAAAAAAAAAAAAGAAGTTAAAAAGCATGCCCTTGACAAGGCCATGGCCCCTGGAGCTCACCCAGAGGGAGACAGGACCCCACCACAGTTAACATTAATGTGGAACAGCAGGTTGTCCTTGATGCCCGTGTAGAACGGATGAGACAGACTGTCCCTCAGAGTGTTTCTTAACCCTTTCCTCATCGTCAGTCCCCTGAGAAGCATTTTTCCACCTTGTTTCCTGATTGCTCACCTCCCTCAGCCCCAGATGAAGTAAAATACTAAGGAATAAGATTTCGTTGGGTAGGGTTAATCTTTGGAGGGCCATTAATCATTGTTATCCAAGAACCAAATTCCATCCCCTTGGGGGGCTGTAGCCCCCAGGAATGTGTGTGCCAGAAAATTAAGAGTAGGAGGGCTCACCGTGGGCAGGAGAGGTGTCGCGAAGCTCAGGTCTGAGCCGGCTCGTAGGGTGGTCATCTTTGCAGCCCTTCCTAGCTGGAGGAGAGCAGGGTGGACAGTGGGACGGGGGGAGAGGTCATGAGGGGGGGGAGTGGCTCCAGCTTCCCCACAGAGTGTACCCTCATTTCCACCTTCAGGGTGGCCAGCTGACGTCACTAGGGCGTGACTGAGGCCTGGGTAAGTCACAGGGGTCACAGGGGCAGTTGTAGCTAAAGGGGCTCTGCCTGCTTGTCTTCTCTCCCAACCTTTACCCTCACCCGGTGACGTCGAGTCCACAGAGGTGGCCTGGCCGGGTCACTGAGCCTGCTGCAGAAGTCCCGCATCCAAACTTAGTGCTCATCATGACCCTAAACACCACCCCGCCTGCTTCCCAGGGACCTTCAAGGCTTCTCTGGCTCCCAGTACCTTTTTAGACTGTCTTTGCTTCTTTCAAACCCCCACCCCGACCCCCACTCCTGGCTGGAGTTGGAGGAGTGGCCCCCCGCCCCAGCTTAGAGCAGACCTGGAGGCCGTTGGACAGAAGCCCCCCCCCCATGCCAGAATCCTTCCCTGACTCCTGGAACCTTGTGCTATTGATGATCCTTTCTTTCTAACATGCAGTCAGCATTTCTCCAACGAGATTCTTCTCTTGCTTTCTCTCACACAGGAGCATTTGGTTCAAAGCAGACACAGAAGCACCTGTTCTGTCCCCGCTCACCACCACCACCATTAGCCCGGTGACTCAGACCTCACAGGGTCACCCGGCTCACTGGTCCCCTCCTCATTTTCCACCTGTTTCATTCCGTCTGACTTCCCATCCCATCTCCCCATCAGACCAGCTCTCAGCTGCCCATGATTCTGGTGTCCCTGTGCCTGCCTCCTCGGCAGCCCTGAGCACTGTCCCCTCCCTGCTCTGCACACCCTCCCCCGCACGCTCGGCCCTCCCCCTCCCCGGCCACCCATGTTGTACATCCTCAGGGTCTGACCCCCATCTGACCCACACCCTCCTTGTGCAGGGTACCCCACATTGCCCCAGGCATACCTCTCTCCCAAACGTCAGACCCACACACACGGCAGTAGCTGCTTTTTCTTTTCCTCTTGAACGTCTCAAAGTCCCCTCAAATTCAGCCTTGTTGGAATCAAATTGCAGATTCCGAGCTCTGACCCTTTCCAGCCTTCCCTGTGTCTGAGACTCGCACCACCGCTGCTGCCCCCTGGCTGCATGTCAGACTCTCAGATCCATTCTGCAGCCTCGCTGCCCATGCTCCCCACATCAGATTGTCACCCGGCCTTGTCCCTCTGCCGTGTCTGCACCCTCCCCCCGCCACGGATACAGGTGGCCTGCAACCATGCTTTTCAAGCTTGGCATGGAAGGGACGGGTGCTTTCCTTTAACTGTTCAATCTTTAGCAGACTGAAACTTCTGTAAAATTCAATGTAAATCAAAATATGAAAAACATGTACACGTCCACTTTTTATCATTATTGCATTTGACATCAAATACCCTGTCAAGTTGCTGTACACGTTTCTGTTTCTTACCCTTTCTCGTTGAGGGCCCGTCATAAGCCACTGATGGGACGTTGCCCATGGTCTTCCCGGAAGTGACGCTGGCCAGGTCTGGGGCGGCTCAGTCTCCCCGGAAGTGACGCTGGCCAGGCCTGGGGTGGCTCATTGGGCTCGGGACCACTCAGCCTCGGGGCAGCTACTTAGTTCTGCAGTGACTGCCCACCTCCCTCGTGGATCACAGAACCAGCTACAGACAGACGTGTGAAGGAGGCTGGGCTCCAGAACTGTGTGTAGGCATGCGCCGGGCAAATCCAGCCTGTGGGCCACACAAAGACCACCAGTGCCAGGCCTGGACGACTGCTTACTGACACCTGCTCAGCCCCTCGGGTTCATGCTTCCTCCTCACAGGGAGTGGGGCTGATGTTTCTAGAATGTGAGCAGGACACATTGCCCATCCTCTTGGAAGCCTGCAGAGGCTGGCCTGGCCTTCCCTGCCCCTTGTCCACACCTGCACTGCCCACCCCTACTGGCCCTCATCCTCACTGCATCCCCACGGCCCACTAACCAGGCCTTTGCCCAACAGAGCTCCCCTCCTGCCCTCCTCACTGGGTCTCTTACCCATCCTCAGCTGGAGTCATTTCCTGGGAAGACCACCCTGAGCACTCCGCTCAGATCTACTGCCACCAGCAGGGAAGGCCAGCATGTGCGACATAGGCAGTTGGGAAAACAGTAATTAATTGCCCCTGCATACAGGATCTGCTTAGACATATACATAGAATTGGTTCAAACTTGGCAGAATAACTTTCCCTCTTACTTTTTCACGTTTGCAGTTCAAGAATATACATAGCCACACTTAGGATGATTCTCCAGAAATCAAAGCACCTACCTTGGCCCGTGCCCCGAGGAATTCCCCTCGCGGGGCCTGCAGGGCTGCTGTCAGGAGAAGCTGGGAATCGGTCCCCGCTCACAGGCCCCTCCACAAGGCCCATGCTCTCTGGGTCCTCACCCCAACTTAGGATTCGCCTAGCAGGTGCAGGGTGCCAACAGGAGCAGTGCGTGCCTGAGTTAGTACCTAAGAGAGGTGGGCAGCGTGCTCCAGTATCTGTTAAATAGGACCGTGTCGTTCCCTTGCCCAAAACCCTTCTGTGGCTCCCCAGCCCCTCAGAAGGAGTCTGGATCTCTCGTGGCCTGCGGCCTTCCTTGCTGACATCCCATTCTTATCCTCACGCCTGCCCTCTCACTGCCATGTGCCGGCCACCTGATTGAATGCCGTTCTTCTGAGGCACCTGCGGATTCTCTCAGGCAGCTCCCCCTCGGCCTGGCGGGTCCTGCCCCTTCTTAACCCCACTGTTCCTCCTTCATGTCTTGGCTCCAGTAGCTTTCCATTCCCTGAGGTTAAGTCTGGCCACCAGGTGATGTGCTCCCATGGCTTCTTGCTCAGAAAGCACTGTGAGCACACACGAAATTATTTCACTCATCTTGGGAAAATACATTGTTTCATATCTGCCTTCCTTGCTAGATTGTGAGATGAGTGCATGCAAGGATGTGTGTTCATTCACCACTTTGCCCCCAGAGCCTGACGTGGTCTGCCATTTGTTGACCACACACGTGAACGGGTGCATCTGCAGCGTGCAGAGGGTGTTACTGCCCGGTGTGGTGAGGAGATGGGCAGCGAGCATCTACTTCTCGCTTCTTAGAAGGCTGCAGCTTTCTCTCTGAGGACGTTTTCCCCATGCGTTTCCCCGGTGGCCCTCCTGTCTGTTGCATCAGGGCAAAGGATAAACAGAGCATGTCCAGCTTGATCAGCCAGCATCCGGGTCAGCTGTCTGTTTTCATGTTGGTAAAACAGGATTATGTGAAGCATGCAAAACCACTTATTTTATTGTCACACGCAGCTCTTACAGATACAAAGAAATACATCCGGCACATAGCATAAAATTAAATTATTGATTTTAAATTTATGAAAATTACAAAATAAAGTTATTTGGCTGAAAAAGGAAAGCAATCTTGGGGGTAGGGGAGCTTTCCAATAAAAGCTGATGGAATGAGCACTGGGTATTCATATACAACTGATGAATCACTGACCTCTACCTCAAACTAGTAGTACACTACGTGTTAATTAATTGAATTTAAATAAAATAAAATAAATTTTAAAAAGGAATTCTCCTCCCTGTGTTCTGTCGGTTGTTAAATTTTAATGTTTTTCGGATTTGCTCGTCTCAAGCTGCATCTCCTGCTTGGCGCCCTTCTTGCCCAGTTACGCACAGCCGTCGACCAGTGCGCCGTCGGTACCAGCAGCTGTCTGGCCTGGCCGTCGTTCACCAGAAGGGGCTGGCGCTGGGCCCGGTGCAGCAGACACTGCAGGTAGGAGTCGCTGTGCTTTCGGTGACGCGTCCTGCTGTGTCTTACAGAGCTGCAAAAACTGGAGGGCAGCGGTTGACCTGTGCGGGCGCCTTCTCACAGCCCACGGCCAAGGCTACGGCAAGAGCGGGCTGCCCACCAGCCACACGGCAGACTCCTTACAGGTACAGCCCCTTTGGTTGGTCATAATGTGGGGACAGGGAAGGGACATGACCTTTCATGCCACTAAGAAGAACGTGAGAACAAAAAATAGATTTTCTTAGCCCAAATTTAACGTCAACATGAGTTTACTCTAGTCTTCCTTTCCAGATCCCCTCTCTGCCTCTGCACCCAGAGGGCCCTCTGGCCCCTCAGAGCTGACTGTTCACCCACATTACACTCTCCTCTCTGTGCCTCCCCTCTGCCTCCTCCCGTGGCGATTCCGTACCCTTCAGTGCCCACCCCAGACGTGGCTCTGTCCACACCGAGCCCTGCCATCCCTGCTCTCTGTTCTCCTCAACAAGGATTGGCAGATTAAGCCAAATCAGACAAAATCATTTACGTTGTTTTTATTAAGCTCGAGAGTCATTTTTGTAAACGTGTAATTAGGCAAATGCGCTAAGAAACCGAGTGTAGGCTTTGTTTTAATACACTGGAAATCAAGCTCTGCTACCAAATTAATAGGAAGTAGGAATTTCTGAACTTGACATTCGTAGGTACTCTAATGGTTTCAATTGTATTTTGTGTTTTAGCTTTGGTTTGTGAGGCTGGCACTGCTGGTGAAGCTGGGCCTTTTCCAGAATGCCGAGATGGAGTTTGAGCCCTTTGGAAATCTGGACCAGCCCGATCTCTATTACGAGTACTACCCTCACGTATACCCTGGGCGAAGGGGTAAGGCAGTGCTGGTCATATTTATGCCTTTGCATGTATTTTGCTTTGCTTTGCTTCATACAGAATAAGCATCCTCAGTTTTCCTAATGTGTCCAGTCTGGAAAAATCAAGTGAGTAGCCTAGCAGTGAGCCCTGACGTACAGAATGACCTCACTCAGTTTTCTAAACACGCTTCCCCGCACATCCCCACTGCACAGCCGTTCACTCTCTGACAACCCTGTCCCAGGCACCTGCTGGGGGACAGCAGTAAGGCTTGGTATTAGACCTGGTGGTGGTGTTTTTCCAGACTTTTTGACTCTGCTGCCGTGTAAACAATCTTACGTCATGACCTACTGCAAATACACACAGAGAAAAGACAAAACATTCTTGGAACAATACTTCGTGCCATTGTCTACTGGTTTCTATCCTGATTTAATTTACTTAAAAATCTGGTTGCAGTCCCCCAGCGGGTTCCAGCCATCATTTGGAAGACTCTGGGCTACAGCACGGGGTAGCTGTCAGCAAAAAATAAGGATTGGGGAAGGGAGAGCACAGAGGACAGAGAGCCTTCCAGGGCATGAGCAGCCTTGAGGGGAAGCGAACGTTTCTCGGTGGAGAACCTTGTAGATCTGTTGGAACCCATCCCATGTTCCTGTTGAGCGTAAGACAGTTTTGGGAGGACTTCTGCCGAGAGGCAGCAGAGGCGGTGTTACTGAAGGCCCGGCCTCAACCATCTGGCTTCCGGGTAAGTCCTGCCCTCCGCTTAGTCATGTGGGGCCTGGGCAAGTGATCCGGCGTCTCTGTGTCCCAGCATCCTTACCAGGACAGCACGGCTGATTCTTCTTAGGGTGTCGTGAAGCTCAAGTGAGGTCTTACGTGCAGGTTGCTGGGAACAGTGGCTAGCACATAGTGAAGACGGTGTTGGCTGTTTGCCGTATTCTGTTCTTAATTTGTCGGGAACACGCTGTAGATCACTGCCATCCTTTGTAAGATTGGCTGGTCAGCATTTGTGGGATGTAACCACAGAGTGAAAAAGGAAAGTTCTGGTTGTCAGGAAACACAGAATCAGAGTCAGGGAGAAAAAAGAGTAACAGCGCCAGAGAGTACAAAGGCCCGGTTACTAATAAAGATCATGATGGCCTAGAATTGTCAAAAACTTATATCAGCATCTGGCTTGGTTAACATGAGTAGTAGATAAATACATGAACTGAGAAGACAGAATTAAAACACATTTCTCAGCTTTTTGTGTTGTTTTTCCTAGTACACAGATCCTGTTTCTCTGGAGGGGACACAGGGAAGGAGCAAGCTTTCTCCTTCATCGGGTTTACCATCCACATGGGGTGAGACAGGAGCCAGACCGCATGACCGAGTTTGCCCAGACTTGGAGGAGGTTTCTAGCACAGCGTACTTTCATACCTTTTAGCCTCACTGGTGTTATTAGTCCTGTTTCTTCCTTCTGACTAAGGGAAATTACCCCTCATAGAAGAGAGATGGATGGAAAAGGTGGGTTTCAGTACCTAAAGCCGGGCAGAAATCAGACCAGTTGGCTCGACGGAGTGGAGATGAAGCAGCCAGGCTGAGTGGACTCAGAGTCAGGGAAGGAGACAGCAGGCCCTCCTCCCGAACTTGTAAAACTTCTTCCCAACCTGTGGCCTGTCGGGTCCGGGGCCGGGACAGACGGAATCTGGGAGCCGCCGGGAGCAGTGTTCGGGAGGACACCCCTGCCCCCTGGTGCTGCCCCAGGTGGAAGAAGTGGGTCAGGGGCTCCCTGTCTGTGCTGCCACGGCTGCAGGAGCCACGTCTGCCGTAGGCCCCGGCCAGGTCTCCAAGCGTGTCTCCTCCCGCGCTCTAGCCCCAGGAAGCCCCCAGGGGTGGTATGCTCCGTTCGTCAGAGCCTGGCTGTGGGTGAGCCCCACATCCTCTTGTGCGCTAGAAATTCAGACCACGGTGTTCGGAGGGTGCAGTCTTCTCCTGGTCGCTCAGGGGATACTTCTCTAGCTCACAAATGAACCGTGTCCTTTTTCGTCTACACGTTCCAGCTATTTGAGCTTCCTTCCTTACCTGAAAGGTGATGAGCAGACTTCCACCCCAGAAGGAGGTGAGTCTCTGTAGCCACTTCTGATAGCTCTGATGGAAAGGTGCCCAAGGAGGGGTTAAGGGCAGTGCCCAAGGGGGATGTTTGGGCATATTTCTGCTTGATAAACTATGCCCGGTGGCTTTGGTAATCGACACAGGACAGGATGGGGCACCTGGGTGGCTCAGATGGTTAAGCGTCTGCCTTCGGCTCAGGTCATTATCCCAGGGTCCTGGGATCGAGCCCCGCATCGGGCTCCCTGCTCAGGGGGAAGCCTGCTTCTCCCTCTGCCTGCCGCTCCCCCTGCTTGTGCTCTTTCTCTCCAGCAAATAAATAAATAAAGTCTTTAAAAAAAAAAAAAAAGGACAGAACAGGATATTCTCATACTTCTGATGAGGATCAGCAGTGTTTCTCTTCAGCATAAAACAAAAATGTTTCTTCCCACCCCACCTGATTGCAGCTGGACTGCAGCCACCAGCCCCACCCCTGTTGCATGATCATGCTGCTAGGCAGGAGGCTGCCCCCTCTGCAGCTGTGGGGGTCGGCGGCTGGTGTCCATAGGTGTCTCATCTACAGTGGACAAAACTTAAATTTGGGTACACAGGCCCATCTCTTAGTAGCTCCGAACTACTGGATTCCCTAAAGCACACAGCTTCACAAATGCTCCAATTTCTGTTCCTATTGAGGTCCGTGAGAATTGTAGATTCAAAATGACTGTGCATCCATCAGCTGCTTCTGCATTTACCATGGGCGTTTAATGAGAGAGAGATGAGAAGGCAGGTATTTCCTGTGGTGGCCAGTGCTACTCCCAGCCCTTCCCTCTGTGAACACAGCACCAGCTGGTGTTTGGTGACACTTCCTGTGTCCTAGAGTCCAGGGACTCTGCCTCTTCACCCAGCTTTCAAAAGCACGCCTTGGTGGAGCTGGTACCAAGCTTCCTGTAAAATGAGGCATGAGATTTCAGGGTCAGGTGCAGCACTCCCTGTCATCCTTAGCCTCAGTTTTGAGGACGTATTTTCCCAAAGATGTGCAGACAAGAAAGCACGCTTCTGACTCCACCTGAAATTAAACTGCACTGCGATATGGAGAGAGAGAAGATAGTAGCCACGCATCATTAAGCAGCTAATTTAAATTATGAAGTAGACATAAATCATACATACATTGCAGCTAAAATGTGTTAACATTCATCCACAGTGATATGCTGAATGTTTACTAATTTTTCTTCTCATTTTGTGATGTAACAAGCATAAATGTAAGATTTTGATTCATTTCATTTTAGTCTATAGTATATAAGCAAAGAAAGTCATTAAGATGTGCTTTAAAGAGGAGGCTGTAACAATATAAACAAATAACTTTTATGAATGAGCTTTAATATATTTTATTTAAATGTCGGGCATAATTTTTACCCATTCAGAATATTATAGCAAAACATCTAATGAATCATGGGTAAAAATCATGAAGTGCTTTGTTTTGTTTTTTAAATTTTCATCCAAGAAAGGAAGAGTATTGTGGTCTGATACATGTCTAGCAATTTCATAGTTAATTTCTGCCTGTCTCAAGGGTGAAGTGTGTATGTTTCCAGAAACTCAGCACTGTCTTTTAATCGGTTTGAATTCTCCCTCCTGCTTGAAAGAAAGAACAGCAGTGAGCCTTGAGCCGCCCCAGGCTCAACCCTGTCCCTGGGTCTCTGTCCTGCACTCCTCCGTCCCTTGGGAGGCCATCCGTCAGTCCCTGTCCCTCAGGGCCCCAGAGGTTGGCTTAGGAGCTGCTTGCATCAGACCTTTGCTTAGACTTCCGACAGTGGGGTGAGAAGCGTTCAGAGCTCAGACTCCGTGTTGAGCAGCAAAGTGGTGGCTCATGAGCGGATTTAACACCTTAGGGTCACACTTGGCTACCAAGCCCTCCCTGTCTTTGTCACCGGGTGCAGGAAACTCCAAAGATGAGTGCTGGTGGTGAGGGTAGAAGATGTCAAAACAAGAAGGAAAATTGAGCTCCATGGTAACACCATGTGGCCTCTGTGTCCAGGGCAGAGAAAAAGAAAGATAACCGTGTCATAAGTTTCTTTCTTTCTTGTAGCACTCTGATTTTGAGACAGAAGTCCCCTACCTGTGAGTTCTAACTCTGTCCAGTAGGGTCCTCTCTAAACTCCTGGGGATGCTATCACTGCTTCACGGGAACCGAACGCCCTCGGGAACAGGGATTGGTTTGCGCGGGTGGGCATGTTGGGTGTTTCTGTGTCGCTCACTTCCTGTTCACCCCGATTTTCACGCACTTCTGTCCCTGGGTTTCCCAGTTTGGACATGCCCCCTGCTTGAGTCCTCTTTACTCTTCACTCGACCCAAATTGACTATTTATTTTAGTTAAACATCTTTTAAACACAAGAAAGAATTTTATTAAACACTCAGTAAATATTAACATTTTTCCACATTTACTTCAGCCATTTCTGCAATAAGCTCAAGTACACATTACCAACATGGCCTTTCAGGCGCCCCAGTTCCGTCCCCTCCCAGAGGGGTCACCCCCAAGCGTGTGTCATGTGTGCTTGCAGGTTGTGTTTTCACACTTCCGCTGCACGCACATGCGTACTCACAGACACATGGAAGTGTCTGGTGCATCTTGCGTTTCTCCAAGGCCCACATTCAAAGTGCCACTGCCTGGCTGCATGGCGTTTGTAGTTTCAATTTTATTTCTTTAAGATTTCATTTATTTTTTTAAATTTTTTTTAAAGATTTATTTGAGAGAGAGAGAATGAGAGAGATAGAGCACATGAGAGGGGGGAGGGTCAGAGGGAGAAGCAGACTCCCCGCCGAGCAGGGATCCCGATGTGGGACTCGATCCCGGGACTCCAGGATCATGACCTGAGCCGAAGGCAGTCGCTTAACCAACTGAGCCACCCAGGTGCCCAAGATTTCATTTATTTATTTGTCAGAGAGGGAGAGAGAGCACA